ACTTTGTCCAAAATCTAATCATTTCACGTCAGGCCGAAATAAAACTTAAGTTTAAAATTTAATGTTTTTTTCTTTATCCGTTTTTGAGTTTTCTTCAAATTTCGAAATTTACACATTTTCTCAAATATCTTGAATACGGTTTATTTAAGAGAAATTATCTATAGGATAAAAATTATAGAGAATTATATTACAAACAACTTTTGTTTGAACAATTTTTATAAAAAAAAATATTTTTTTACATTTTGTCAAATTTCGCGAATACGGACCATTTTAGAAAAATTTTGTATATAACAAAAATTATAGAAAATAAAATAAGAAGTAACTTTCATTTGAAGAATTTTTTTCCCAAACGTAAATAACAGATATATTCCATAAAATATAAAAATGGCCACCTATAAAGTACCCCCCCAGATGTTCCGACTCTGCCCAAAATCTAATCAGCTCATTAGACGCTGGAACAAAGCTTAAGTTTGAAATTTGGTGTTTTTCCGTGTATCGGTTCATGAGTTATGCGTTATACAGACACACACACACACACACACACACACACACACACACACACACACACACACACACACACACACACACACACACACACACACACACACACACACACACACACACACACACACACACACACACACACACACACACACACACACACACACACACACACACACACACACACACACACACACACACACACACACACACACACACACACACACACACACACACACACACACACACACACACACACACACACACACACACACACACACACACACACACACACACACACACACACACACACACACACACACACACACACACACACACACACACACACACACACACACACACACACACACACACACACACACACACACACACACACACACACACACACACACACACACACACACACACACACACACACACACACACACACACACACACACACACACACACACACACACACACACACACACACACACACACACACACACACACACACACACACACACACACACACACACACACACACACACACACACACACACACACACACACACACACACACACACACACACACACACACACACACACACACACACACACACACACACACACACACACACACACACACACACACACACACACACACACACACACACACACACACACACACACACACACACACACACACACACACACACACACACACACACACACACACACACACACACACACACACACACACACACACACACACACACACACACACACACACACACACACACACACACACACACACACACACACACACACACACACACACACACACACACACACACACACACACACACACACACACACACACACACACACACACACACACACACACACACACACACACACACACACACACACACACACACAGACATCATCGCGAAAATAGTCAAAACGGATTCAGGGGACCTCAAAACGTAAAAATCCGTCGAAAACTCGAGGTCGAAAAAAATCATGATTCCTATACTTTCCTTATATCTGTATACAGATAGGAAAGTAAAAATCGTTCATTTAATTAATGACAAATAGGATAAAGGTTTTAAAAACTCACCATTTCTTATCAGTAGATATAACCATTGGAAATCTGTAAAAAATATTACATTAGTAATTTAAGGAGATGATAAAAAAATAATTATTAACACTAATACCGAAATATTGATTTTATTCAAAATGCCCATCGACAGAAGTATGTAGGTAAACTGAGAATACTCCACAAGAGTTAATACTTATATATAAATACCTGTAATTAAATTGTTATCATTTTAAAGATTATTATGGCCATTACCAATACTAATTAATGCACATTTTACGTGGTATGTCAAATATTTGAAAAATGAAATTAGATCACTCCGTTGGCTAATACTAAACCGGTCAGAAAAGAGGAAACGTTTATAAAACGGCTTGTATCAGGTGAAATAACACATATCTGCAACCAAAAAACTGCATAGGGTTTTTGGAAATGTTTTTTTATAGATTTTTCCTCACTGAAACCAGGAAAAATATTTAAAAAATGTTCTTCAGATTTTCTGGCAAAACTCATATTGACACTCCCTTATTTACAGTTTTCCAGAAAACTTAGAAGCCTATTACATAGCCGATTTTATATGGCTGATGTAGCTGTAACGTGTGGATGGTGGGTTACCCCTTTGAACTTAGGCCTCACTAGGTCCATTGTGCATCCTTCTAAGTTGATAAGCACCTCCTAGCTCGTTCACCAGAAGATAGATTTGATGTTATTGACAAGATGTGCTTCTCTTATATCGGCCGGTGTTAGTAAATTCCCGCCGAACAAGAATCTTCTAAAAAATGAGAAGGTCGAGTAATGGTAGATGAAATGCTCGAAATAGTCTCACATTTTCGTTCGCACACCCTATAGAGTGTGGATTCTGACAGCCCCATGCTATAAAGATGCTTCTGTCCTTTGCAAATGACCAGTCAGAATGCCTTTGATGAGGCGCAGATTCTGTACGTTTGCTGTAGTGTTGACAAGATAAGTTAAAAGCACTCTGCAGCTTCTTTTTTCATCACATATTTCCTTGAATTTCACAAGAGAATGTTCTTTAATTACATTTTTCACTACCCATGTTGTCAGTCTTCTTGGCGATTGAATCAGCAATCACCTTTTGATGTGGCGTACCTTTGAACTATCTTAAGGTTTTAAAGATGTCATCCATAATAGATCTAAAAAAGTTGAGGTGGGGGAGGCCACACAGCTCACAGTCCTAATTAAATCTAATCTTAAGGCGACCTTCGGCCAACGCTTCGTAAGATTCTAGTACTAACACTGAGTAAATTTGTTGTCTTTCAAAGGTGAATAGTGCTTGTCTCCTAACTGTATAGATGAGCATGTTCATACCAGTAATATTGTTTCCGTTAACTTCTTTTGCTGCTATGAGAATATCCTGGTGAACACGGTTTGAACTACACTGGCACTATTGCTTATAGCCCATGTTATGTTTAGGTTTAAGGATCTGGAGTATATTCCACATCCAAAATTTTGTTTTGATTCAGGACCGTCGGTGTAAGAATCGCACTTGCCACTTTCAGCTCTTCTATTTTGTGTTGTAATAATTTTATAAGGCTTATGGAAGATATGTGAAATTGATACCATGGAGTCTATGTTCACTTGAAGCAGTGGGAGCGTATCGAGTACCTCCTGCTAAAAGCGACATCTCGACTCACCAGATCCTACATCAGGTTCTATAGATACAATATAATATTTATATTACTTAGACTCGTAAAACTAAATAAAACTCCGTTTTGTATTTTTATACTTACATTCTAATATGTTTGATTATGTGTTAATGCTAATTTCCAAAGTTTTTAACATACCTACTGGTAGTGACATGTATGTCAATATTTTGCAATATAGACCGTCAGATAGTGACAGGTTTTGGTGCCCCATTATCGCATGCAAGCCTCGAGGGTTGAAAAGTACATCGAATTTAAGTAAAATTAAAGGAAATTTACGAGGGGTTCCTGGGAATAACGCATGGAAAATTCGATTTTCCCTAACAAAAATGAAAGGTTGTTGCCCATATTTCCACGCCAGCCGTTTTCACTATATGATTAATTCATAGAACTAGGCTTGTATGCGAAAATGGGCCACCTAAATCGGTCACTATTTGTTAATTACTTTTATAGTTTATTTTTAATTAATTTCAACAAATGGCAATCTATGTTACAAACTGGTATTTTATTTTGTTTTCATTTCTTTTTTTCTTTGACCCCATTTTAATTTTTTTATTTTTGTAAATTTTTTATTTTTGGTTTTATAGCTGTTTTTGACCATTTTATATTTTACTAATTTAATGTTATAAATATAATAATTTTGTATTTTGTAATCTTGTTTTTTTTTACATAATATACATATTCAATAATCACAGTTGTATAAATTGCTATGTAATACGTAGGGGCAAAAATTATTTTTTTGCTTATTTGGTATCTTAACAACGTAAATAAATAAAATAAGTTATTTTTACAACAAATCTATATATTTTCTAAAAATAATTATATATTTACAAAAAAAATAAAAAAATTTAGGTCGGCAAAAAATGTTTGTTAAGTTTTTTGACTTTCTTCGTTTCAATATGGGATTCTGCAGATACAAACATGGCCAAGGTTTGTTTAGGCAAAAATGTTTTTGCTTTCCTTTTTTTTACATTTCGCATGTTACTTAGAACAGGATCTGAACTAAGCAGAAGGCGATTAAAAATGTCCTGATTACAACTTTCCCTGGAAACTTTCCTCGCAAAATCTTGTCGGTAACTTCTGAAATGTTTATTGCGAGCCTCAGCTGCTTCCTCGGAAAGCTGTCCGATTGGTAACAATGCCTTTTCAATAATGACTGCACCATGCACTAAAATCTTGTGCATTGTTGGCGTCATAGGATGCCAATTACACAACTTAACATAAAGTCGATCAGTTTCTGAAGCATATCTTTCATAATTTACCGGATCAATTTCAAATCCGCTTGAAATTGCTTTCAATATGACTTTTAGTCTGTATATCAGTTCATAGCTAATGCCAGTTATTTCTGCAGCTAATGTGGGATTCTCAAAGAACCTTCTGCTAGTATTTCCATCATTTGTATTCCCGAAATTGGATTAAGGCATATCTGTTTCAATGCGGAACCTTGTTTGTATATCTCTTTTGGTTTGATCTTCTAGGTATTTCTCCTCTTTCGATTTTCTTCTATATTTTTTCACTTTAAGTTTATATGCTAAGTGTAGGATGCATTCAAATAATCGAATTCTAGCGTGTAACACAGATATGCCGAATTCAAGGGCTGTAAAATTCACTTCTTCTTTGTAATCCAATTTATTAAAATCGTTCGTACTCGTACTTTGTGCCTGTAGCTGCATTGCAGACCTTTCCATCTAGCATGGTCATGATGAATTTGTGCTTGATTAACAACTTTTTCCCTCCTAGAGGTCGGCCTCTGTTGGGACTAAAGAGGTAATAGCGATTTTGACGTGTGCTATTTCCTCTTCAGTTACATCATTAGTTTCCTTGATAAAACGGAACCTTATTGGTCGACAAAATCGCGGCGAAGAGGGCGTTGGATTATTCCCTAAATCTTTTTCATTTTTGTCTCTAGAAACTAATTGAAGAGGCACAAAACAGCTTTGGAATATGCTTGAATCCGAATCAATATCACTTTCTAGTTTTTGTTTGAACTGTGATTGTTGAGACCCTTCGCAGCCCCCTTTACTGATTATAGTAACGGTAACATCCATTAGAGGCTGTAACTGAGCTTCGGGACTGGTACACGTTACCATTAACAATTCTTGAGGTGGGTAACATTTCTTTTTGGCTTTTTGTAATGCACGGAAAAAGCTTATTGGTTTTTCTTATAATTTCGTACTGTCCTTGCGTCAAATCGGCATCTATAAACATTTGCAAAGCTTGCTTTGGTGTCAAAGAGTGCTCTTTACTTGATTTCGTAAGATAAGCCTTTTTATATTTAGTTGCTCGTGTCGGAGAAATGGTAATATCTTTTAAGACATTTGATGCATCTTTTTTACCAGATTTTCGCAGCTCCACTTTCGCAGCATGTATTATGATCTCCTTTTCAAAATTAGAACGCAGTTCTTCAGTCTTCCGTCTTTTGCTTCTCTCACTTGCGTCTTCAAACGATTTGGATGGTCGACCTGGCCGTTTTTGTGAAACCCCAACGACAGGTATTTTAAAAGTACCTTCCAGCCAAGATCGGTTGTATTTTATAAAATTATCTTCTTTATAATGAGCTTGGGTCCACCTTTGTTTAATATCTGATTTGAAATGGACAAAACCACGTTTCAAATTAATAATTTGATCTTCATTATAACCTTCACATGACAAAAGTTGATCTTTAAGATAGTTTAATTTGGCATTTACATTAGGCAAATTTTCTGTCTTCATGCGGTCATATAAGTATTGTCGGGCCACAATCCTTACTCCTGATGCACCCTCCAAATCTAAAACAAACATACACTATGTTAAAAGCCGCTAATAAACATTTCCAATTTTATACGAAATTTTGCTAAATATCTTTCATTAATGCCTCAAAGCTGTATTTATCCGGACGTTTCCGGAGATGTTTTTAATAGCATTTATAAGCAAAAGGATCATATAATAACCTATAATGATAACTATAGCTCGATCTACCCCGATACATAAACAAAAACACTAGAATAAAAAAATATTTAAGAAAATCACTGTATGAAAATGAGTTTTTTTTGTTATAAAAAAATTATATTGTGTAATGGATAATCATGACTTTATTAATGTAGTTTGGAAGTTTCTTACCTTATCCATTAGACTCCATCACTTTCAATTATTCGTAAGTAGAACTGAATAACATAAAAATTCACTTTGGAAGTTTAACGTTTAGAAAAGCACCGAGCACAGATACGTACACTAGGTAAAACGGTCAAATTCTGAATGACGCTAGGGTTGGGGGGTGCGAGATAGCAGGTAGATGGGTATGGGTATTGTTCCCGGCTTCGTCCTCTGTTCGTGGAACTCGTTATTATGAATGTTATTGTTATTTTGTTATTGGGACTTTTGGCCCCGTAGATCGTGCAAATACCTGTATGTGCGACGGTCACAAGTAGCACCAAGCGCAAAAGTAATTTAAACCGGCACTAAGTCTATAGTGGAAAGCAGGGTGAAAGATTTCACCAGCATGTCCGTGATTTCGGGAGACGATGCCACGGAAGATGAAACGTTAACATGCTAGCTGATTACTGAAGATGGAAAGCGAAAATGTGTTTGAAGGAGCATCAAAGAGAAAAAGAAAAGGGTTCGCAGACAGAGAGAGTATATATGTCATGTATATGTGTCATGAACGAATAATTCCTTGAATAATTTGAAAATTCGGAAACAAATATCAAATATCCCCCACAAATTATTAATACCATTCCCGAACCCCAAAGGTGAAAACAAATATTTTGGAACATATATTTTTTTTGATTCAGCACCGTATAAAATATTGAATTTACCAAAAATAGCCCATGAAGATAAAAAAAACCTTGCTGGCCGGTGTAATTGGACAATTCGAAGGTTTCTGGACGTAAACGATGTATGTATAAAATCCTTATTTATATTCTTTTAAATATCTTCCAAGCATGCCCAACTAAGTTTTATACGTGATATATTTTGTTTGCATTTGTTATACCAACACCAAAGTTCTACTTAAATTTTACCCAATATAAACATCATATATTAATACAACGAAAAATAAAATTTTAGAAAAACATTACAAGTACGACGAAATTAATATCTGTTTCAATTTAAAGATAATTATATTATTTCTCATGAATATACCATTATCAAAATTGCTGGCATAGTTTAATGCAATAGAAAAATAATAGGTATATTAAATTTAATGGCGTACCTATAGACAAACAATTTGTCAACTAGTTTGGTTCTAAGAAAATAATTGCGCAGAAACTGTAGGTTGAGAATATTTTGTTTATATTGAAGTGTTATTAAATTAGAAAAATAAAGACCATCATAAGATAGCATCATTACAAATACGTTTTTTTTATTTGATTCACGCGAGTTACTTACTATACTCTTTCTACGACTAATATTGCTTAAACAACTGTATTTTTTAAAAACTGCGTTTTTGAAAAAGTGTCCCTAAAACATCTTGATTTCAAAATACACAAATTCTGATTTCAATTTAGTTTTTAGACAAGTACAAGTACAAGTACAAGTACAAGTACAAGTACAAGTACAAGTACAAGTACAAGTACAAGTACAAGTACAAGTACAAGTACAAGTACAAGTACAAGTACAAGTATAAGTACAAGTACAAGTACAAGTACAAGTACAAGTACAAGTACAAGTACAAGTACAAGTACAAGTACAAGTACAAGTACAAGTACAAGTACAAGTACAAGTACAAGTACAAGTACAAGTACAAGTACAAGTACAAGTACAAGTATAAGTATAAGTATAAGTACAAGTACAAGTACAAGTACAAGTACAAGTACAAGTACAAGTACAAGTACAAGTACAAGTACAAGTACAAGTACAAGTACAAGTATAAGTATAAGTATAAGTATAAGTATAAGTATAAGTATAAGTATAAGTATAAGTATAAGTATAAGTATAAGTATAAGTATAAGTATAAGTATAAGTATAAGTATAAGTATAAGTATAAGTATAAGTATAAGTATAAGTATAAGTATAAGTATAAGTATAAGTATAAGTATAAGTATAAGTATAAGTATAAGTATAAGTATAAGTATAAGTATAAGTATAAGTATAAGTATAAGTATAAGTATAAGTATAAGTATAAGTATAAGTATAAGTATAAGTATAAGTATAAGTATAAGTATAAGTATAAGTATAAGTATAAGTATAAGTATAAGTATAAGTATAAGTATAAGTATAAGTATAAGTATAAGTATAAGTATAAGTATAAGTATAAGTATAAGTATAAGTATAAGTATAAGTATAAGTATAAGTATAAGTATAAGTATAAGTATAAGTATAAGTATAAGTATAAGTATAAGTATAAGTATAAGTATAAGTATAAGTATAAGTATAAGTATAAGTATAAGTATAAGTATAAGTATACGTATACGTATAAGTATAAGTATAAGTATACGTATACGTATACGTATACGTATACGTATACGTATACGTATACGTATACGTATAAGTATAAGTATAAGTATAAGTATAAGTATAAGTATAAGTATAAGTATAAGTATAAGTATAAGTATAAGTATAAGTATAAGTATAAGTATAAGTATAAGTATAAGTATAAGTATAAGTATAAGTATAAGTATAAGTATAAGTATAAGTATAAGTATAAGTATAAGTATAAGTATAAGTATAAGTATAAGTATATAAGTATAAGTATAAGTATAAGTATAAGTATAAGTATAAGTATAAGTATAAGTATAAGTATAAGTATAAGTATAAGTATAAGTATAAGTATAAGTATAAGTATAAGTATAAGTATAAGTATAAGTATAAGTATAAGTATAAGTATAAGTATAAGTATAAGTATAATTAGTATTATATTCATCATAAATGTGATGTTTTATAGATAGAGACCTCCCCATATTACAAAAAAAAAAACACTACAGACACCACTAACCATAAAATGTCTTTCTGGTACCTCTTGACTCTATATACAAATATTCAAATCAAGAAAATAAGAAACATTTTCAAATTAGCTGAAACAAATTTTTCAGACAACTGAAAATAATAGTATACAGGGATTACTGTCGTATGAAGGATTTGAACATGAATCCAATAATATCGAAATGAAAGTAAATAAAACATAGAACCAAAAAAGTTCCGAGCTATGATCTTATAACCTGAGATATTCTTAGGAAGCTACCTAGAAAGGCATTGTTTAAACTCACTTATCTAATAAATGTAGCATTTAGATTAAAACATGTACTAGATTGGAAAGTAGACAAGGTAATAATGATTGCTATTATCAATAATTTTGTCCATAAACTATTCGAAAAACTACTGACCTATTATTATAAAGAAAAACCGCATTCCACGTTTAGGACCAAGCATTCAACACATTGAACTAAATCACAAAATAGACACAATCAATTGAAAAAGCGGAAAATCAGCAATACTTTGTATGAAGCCCAGGAATTCGCCCCGATCTGGTAGGGCTAATTAACAAATTGAAGAAAATGTTAACAAAATAATATACTGATGTTCATATTACTAGCCCAGTATTCCAAGTTAAACAGGAGGAAGCATTTTTTACAATAAATATATTAAAACAGATGTATCACAAGGTAGCGTGCTAGGAGCAGTGATTTATCTATTGTATACTTGATATATGATATATCACATACAAAACATGTGACGATCGCTACTTATACTAACGATACAACTATCTTAACAGTTGGACATGACAGCAAAGAAACTGTAGACAAACCCTAACAGGCATGAAAAATTGAATGGTGCAAAAGTGGAGAATAAGAAGAAATAAGAGCATTATCGTTTATAAGTTTGCCTATAAAGAACAACGAAAACAATTACCAATATATTACCGAAATATCTTGTATAAAACAGTTTAACATTACGGAATGTAACTCTGAGGATGTGCAGCAAAGAGCAATATAGATAAAATTTAAATCTTTCGCATAGTGCTCCAAGGTATTGTATTACAGTAATGATCACATTCACATAGATTTGAAGATATCGACGGCCAAAGAAAAGATCAACAGAGATATGTAGGCAAGCATAAATCAAGATTCCACGTCCACATCCTAGATATCCTCGATAAGACATACCCAAAAAGAGG